TTTATGCATTAGTAGAATGTCTACTAGCAGAGGATTTCGAGTCTCAGAAAAATTACTTAAAGCTTTTAGAGTACTTAAAGAGTCTGTGTAAATTATAAATTTTTTCTGGATTTGTTTAGAGATGAATGTAAGAGCGATATACACAGCAGTTAATTCAGCAGTAAATACAGAACATGCATTTTGAAATCGTTTGCTTTCAGTGTGGTTCTGAGATACAAAGGAGGTTCCTACATGACCAGCAGATTTTGAACCGTCTGTATAGATGGGAGTAAAAGTGTTGTATTCATCTCTATGCTTTAGAAAAACTTGCCTGTATATTACCTCGTTAGTGTCACTCTTATTAAGATCTTAAAAAACATTCAGTAGCTCAATTTTAGGATTATACCAAGGTGGGAATTCTAGATACTTTACTGCCTGGACCTTGATATCAGACAAGCAAAATTTTTCTATCAGCATTTCTTTCTTTCTAAGAAAGGAAGTACGTTAAGCGGTTGTGCAGAAAATAGAAGTTTGTGACAGTCATCAAGCCCAGATTGTGACATAATATTGAAATACTGGTAAAGAGACAATTGCTCACGCCGTAGTTGAAGCAACGGCTCATAACAATCCACATATAGGCTCTGGACAGGAGTCGTTCTGAAAGCTCCCAAACTAATTCTCAGGGCCTGATGATGTATGGGATCAAGTTTCACTAAAACAGAAGGCTGTGCAGATGCATATACTATTGAGCCGTAGTCTAATCTGGCGCGTACAAGCGATCTGTAAATACGAAGTAAAGAGCCACATTCTGCACCCCAGGAGGTGTTCGATAGTACTTTTAGTAGATTTACTATTTTGAAACACTTCTTCCTTAAATATAACACATGAGAAAGAAAGGTAAGCTTACGATCAAACACTACACCTAAAAATTTTACTTCAGACAGAACTGGAATCAACGAGCCATGAAGGTAAAGCTCAGGTTCAGGATGAAGGTTCCGTTTTTTACAAAAGTGCACGCATACACTCTTCTCTTTTGAAAATATAAAGCCCTCACCATCTGACCATTTCTGAATTCTACTCAGAGCGATCTGCAACTGTCTCTCCACGTATCTCATATCTGCCTCTTGATAACTTATCTGCAGGTCATCAACATATAGTGAACCTGAAATGGAAGGAGGAAGTTTTCTTAAGACAGAGTTTATTCTTAAGCTAAAAAGAGTAACACTAAGAACGCAGCTTTGAGGCACACCCTCTTCTTGACAAAACAGATCTGATAACAATAAGCCAATTCTTACTTGAAAAAATCTAGCTTTCAAGAAATTCCTTATGAAAATTGGCAGGTTGCCACGCAAGCCACTGTTGTAAAGATAACATACTATGCCTTATCTCCATGCTTTGTCATAAGCTTTTTGAATATCAAAAAATATTGACACTAAATGATTCCTTTTGACAAAGGCTTTACGGATGGAGGTTTTCCAACATGAGCATATTATCCATACTTGTTCTACCTTTAAGGAAACCACTCTGATATAGTGAGATTATTTTGTATTTTTCTAAATAATGGACTAGGTGATGGTTTACCATTTTGTCAAATAATTTGCAAACACAACTTGTAAGAGCGATTGGTCGGTAATTCGAGGGATTTTTCGGGTCTTTCCCAGGTTTAGCTATCGGGATGACAACAGCTCTCTGCCATGCAGTGGGAAAGAAGTGCTCCTTCCACACTCGATTAAAAAGGGTAAGAAGGGCAACCAAAGACTTATACGACAGATGCTTCAGCATATCATAACAGATACCACCGAGACCCGGGCTTGATCTGCGTGTCTGCATCAATTCTCTACTTAGCTCAAACATGGAAAATTTGCTTTTTCACAGCGTCGCTTAACAGAAAGAAATGCCGGTGGGTAGTTGCTGCCACTAGAAACAGCAGCAAAATTCTCACCAATCGCATTCGCAATTTCTTCTGTTGTACTGATCACTCGGCCATCTTTTTCCAGAAAGGAAAGTGAGCGGTCTTTGTACAGTCCGCATGCTTCAACTCTTTCCCATTCTCGTTTACTAGACGTAGAGGTTGATATTCCAGACACATAGGACATCCACAAATCCCTCCGGCTTTTATGCCTCACTCTTCTTGCGTTTGCTTTAGCTTTCTTGAAGGTAATAAGATTTGACAAAGTGGGGTGTTTATAAAAAACTTGTCAAGCTTTCCTCTGTTGTTTCAGTTTATCTTGACATTCATGGTTCCACCATGGTTTTGCGTACTTAGGAAGCTTTGTTGATGTTTTTGGAATAGAGACCGTAGCTGCTTGAACGATGAAATCTGTGATTGCTTTCACAGCTATGTTGATTGGCACATCTTTTACCATCTCTTCTGTAATCTCTGCAAGAGACGAAAAGAGTTCCCAGTCTACCCTAATAAGAATAAAACGGGGAGATCTTGATATGGGATTTACTCCATCTCGCATTATAGACACAAAAATGGGAAAATGATCACTATCGTAGAGGTCATTTCTGACACTTAACGTAAAAAGGCAGGAGAGATGGTGAACAGATAGCCAGATCTAGAGCGTGAAATGTCCTAGTAGGCTCATGGAAGTAGGTGTTTTGACCGTTATTGAGGAGACAAAGGCAATGATCTTCAATCATTTGCTCAATTTGTCTGCCTCGGGGGTTTCTATCTCTACTTACCCAGAGTGGACTATGTCCATTTAAGTCCCCTTTGATTATAAAGGGTTTAGGCAGTTGTTCAATTAGGTCATCTAATTCTCGTTGAGCGATATGATGTTTTGGGGGCAAATAAACAGAACAGACTGAAAGTAAACTACATATATTTACTTGGATGGCAACAGCTTGGAGGCCTGTACTTAAAGATATTGGACTAGAGGGATAGTTAAGTGAGGTCAGGACACCGACACCCCCGCTCACATGCTCACCTGCAAGATTATCTTTCCTCGTGAAAAAATGCCTCCGAAGCTTAGCTTGTTGAATGGGTTTTAATATAGTCTCTTGAACTGCCATGTACATAGGATGATGTAAATCTATCAAATTTTTAATATTTTCAAGATTTTGGTAGAAGCCGCTAGAATTCCATGAGATGAGGGTGGCCATTAGGTTTGTTGTTTGTTCTTTCGGTGCACTTTTTTAGATTTTCGTGGAAGCAGGTGTTTTGGGACATCTAGTCCCTCTTCCACATCCATCTCAGAATCTATGCTGTCGGAGCTGATGTTCCCACGGGAGCTCAAGCTGGAATCCTCGAGAGGTTTTAAAGTTTTCCTAGTTTCTTTACTGTTTTCACCTTGGTTATCTTTTGTTTCTTTATTCTGTTGAGCTTTAACTGTTGATGTAACTGGTTTCTGTGATTTGTTTTTGTGTATATTCTTGATTGGCTATTTATTTAGCAAGCCTATTGCTGTTTGCATACTTATGGATTTAAAGGATTTTACTGCACCGACATAGGACAAATATTTTCGGGGCTGTGCATCTGCTACCAATTTCCCTGCTTCTGCATAAAATATGTTTCTTGTTACTTTCATTGTCTCACCTCCTTTTCTGATTTCCACCTAGGACATTGTCGTGAGAATGCTGTGTGGTTTCCTTTACAATTTGCACATAGTGGCTCAGCATTGCAATTTTCGCTGTCATGGCCTTCAACAGAGCAGTGTGCACATGTGATTTTCCCACAACAGGACATTTTTGAATGGCCAAAGCGCTGGCATTGGAAACATCGCAAAGGGTTCGGTATGTAAGGTCATACGGGGCAGTGTAAGCACCCAGCCTTAATACTTTTGGGCAGATCAGGCGACTTGAAGGTCAGGATTATATGCTTTGTATCAATCAACTGACCCTTTGCGCATCTTGATCCGTCTGGCAGCAGAGACATTCTGGTCAGACAACTCAGAGACAATTTCCTCTTCTGAAACATGGAAAAGGTCGATCTCTGAGATAACACCACAGAGACATTGAGTGTTTTTATGTGCTGATACTTTAACATCGATTTGTCCAAGTTTATTCAATCCAAGGAGTGTTGCAGACTGAGTAGCTAATAAAGTTTCAACAAGAAGATCTCCAGAGCGCAACCGTTTGATATTCTTTGGTTCTCCAATTGATGATTGGATGTACTTTTGAATTACGAATGGTGACAGCTTTTTAAGATTGCCTGTGATATCATTTATGACAAGAAATTTTGGTGGGCTTGTTGGATTCATATCTGGATTTGAATTTACATTTGTTTTTACGCATTTTGATGCAAAATTATGCTCATTTGTATTTATTAAAGTTGTATGAGACATATTGAATGGAAAATTAAGATTCGGACCTGGCAGCCCCACCCACCACGGAGCCCAACAAGGGGACGCAGAAACCTGCACCAGGGTTAACCGGGTCTATATGCAAACTGAAGCCCCCACAGTCAGCTCTCCCAAAAGCAGGAACTCCCAAAAGCTTATACCCAAGCCACTGACCCTAAGGACGAGTGACCAGCCGATTGACACAAGTGGGAATAACTAAGTGCCTCCCGTTTCAATCTGAAGCAGAGGCCAAAGCAGTGTGTTGGGGATAGTACCTCGCGCCTCAACTACCAGGACCCTCCTTTCCAGCCTTACGAGTCACAACGCATGGCAAACGCGTAGGTGGTTTTCTCTCCGTGAGAAACTATAAACAAAGGGATGTGACAGGATCCCACTTTGAGCCCGAACTTCCGAAAGGGAAAACTACAAGGGTGGGAAAAAACGAATATAGTAGAGAGAAGGAGATACGAAAAGGAAGGGAGGAAAGATCACTAAGGGACCCAGGATCGTGACCCCCGTCTCACCAAGAAAGTGATCCCTTGAAGGGCTAGGGTACCTCGGGATTGGCACACCCGTACTCACAAAAGTAAGCCCCTGAGGGGTCAACAGACAGACTGCAAGAGATTATTGAAAAATGGATTTTACAATAATTTCTTTTATTACGATATTATTGACCTTTAGTCTGATTTAATGTATGTAAATGATTCAGAATATATACTTAATATCTTTTCTTACCTCTGTGGTATGTAAAACATCTGATTTTTTAGTGGTCGCTCTAGTTTACCAACATACACAGGCCACAAACCTCTAAGAATACGAAATAAAGAACTTTTCCCGCACCCGTTTGGTCCAGTAATGAGCAAATGCATATCTGTAGTCATCTGAAAATAAACATACATCAAACAGGAATAAATAATATATCTTTATACAAATTTATAACTGAATACTGCAGCTTGCTATATAGAACTTTTCTAATAACTTAAAATAATGTGATAACAAGTTAAAAAGTTAATGAATATTCTTTCCTTATTTCCACAATAATCATCCATTAATGTATGTGCTCATACATTAATATTACCAAAAGTACCAAAAGAAGTGAATTTTAAAGGTGCGATTATAGCTTACTCTTAATAGGAGCACATATTCTAAATCAAATTTGCATTAAACTTTTTTTATACTTTTAACTAACATTTTTCTAATCATTTTCCTATACCTATAAAACCACTGTTTCAACATACTCTGAAATTCATATTTCTTGTTATCTCAAATCAAGGTTCCCAGTGAAATTCAGCTTTTAATTTTGCTGATTTTCCCTGACAAAATATAAGGAACTAATTATCAGTTTAAGTATGAGTAAGTGAATATTTTTATTTACAAAATACAATGAAATATAGCCAGAATTAAAGAAGCATGGAAAAGTGTTTTTGGAATTTAGTAAAACTATAAACAGAAAAGACATCATGAGAAAGTGACAGAAACAACTGGGTGCTAGAGGAGTATGCACAAATACACGATAGCAATTGATTGTTTAAGTGGGAAGTACTTAAACTACTTCATTCAAATGCAACCTAAAATGGTTTTAATTATAAAACAATGCATGTTCATTGTTGAGTGTTATGCCTAAGTCATTGAAACCACTAACTGAATTGTTAGTGCAAAAGACTAAAATTGGAAGTATGTTGGCAAAACCTCCAGCAAACTATGCAATGCAAAACTTAGTGGTAAACTGACACAAAATGGGATTTGCGGCAAATAAAACCAGAACTATTCTAAAAGAATTTGAATACCAAAACACATTGCTCAAGTGAATGAGAGCCTGCAGAAAAGTCTGACCCAAGAATCTGTAATATATAGGTCCTGAAATGTTTGTGGAGGCGGTCGCATACACCTGCTGTTTCAGGTATCCCTACAAGAAAAAGTGCACTGGAGTCAGGTCAGGTTAATGTGGAAGCCACTCTTCGAAACCACCATACCCAATTATTTATTCTCCGAATTCCTCCATCAGGTACTGCTTCACTTGTGGCATCTTGTGTACAGACAAGCCATCATGTTGGAACCATCCATTCCAGAGATGAAGCAATGGCAGGTTCTCAACAAAATCGGGTACTGCATCTTGCAGAAGATCTAAATATTGAAGTCATTAACATACCCTGGTAAAATATTGGGCTGGTTAGCCTGTAATTATAAATACCACACCACACATTGATTAAAAACCGTATTTTATGTCAAACGTCAACAGAACATGATGGATTTTCCAGTGTCCAGTAATGGATGTTCTGCCTATTGTACACTTCATTTTGTGAAAAGAATGCATTATCCATCAGTACTATATCTCCTAAGAATGTTGATTGGACCTCTATCTAGTGGGTGCTAGAGGAGCATGCACAAATACACGATAGCAATTGATTGTTTAAGTGGGAAGTACTTAAACTACTTCATTCAAATGCAACCTAGTCTATCTAGTGGGTGCTAGAGTTGCACTATGTGAAATGTCTATGTGAAAGTCTACGTGAAAGTTGCACTATGTGAAATGTCTCTCGTCATCCCTGTCCAGTAATGCCTCATTAGGTGTTGGGCAGTATGAACAAAAACCTAATTCATTTAGAATCTTCCACACATGACTTTTTTTGACAGGCCACAGTTTTCACTTATCTCCCTTGGGCCACTGTTTGGATACATAAGTCTAAGTATCTATATAAGAACACCATTTATAATAAATATTACTCCCAGGATGTTTCAAAATAAAACTAAAGAGCTAGGAATTAAACTAAATTGAAAAAAGTTTAAATTAGTACAGTTATTTAGGTACTTGTTATCCAGATCCTCCCCCCAATACACCACAATCTAGTAGCATCTTTTTGCCCATGAGTATCTGATTTGGGGATTTCCACTGGGTGCTGCTTGATAACAGCATTAGAAAGGCATGAAACAGAATATTATTCTCTGCAGCCTGTCTCTGCCTAGTTATGAAGTAAGATTTTTTCTTTATTCTTATGGCGAGCACTAGACATTTTTAAGACAGATGATTTATATCCACGCTTTCTCCGGGATTCGAAATTGGATTCTTCGGTATTGCAGTCAGTTCCCCTAACCATTATAATATCCGGACAGCCCGATAAGATGACAGCTACATCTAGCTACTGCTTATACCTCCATTTTGTTGCCTCACATGCATTCCATTGTCTGCATATGGATGCTAGTCTCAGGACTGAAGTTGATACCGGACCAAAAAAATGTCATTTCAAACCTTACCAAAACACAGAAAATGGAAAGAAAGACAAGATCTGCAACAGCTTCCATAATTGCCGAACATTTTCAAGAATCAGGTATTTTTGGCAAAGTATAAGCAGATACTAGATAACCAACAACTATCATTACTATTATAACATATGACTATAAAGTAACTGAAGATAATGAATAACCGTCCATTAGCAAGTGGAAACCAGCTGTAAGTTGACAAAATTCTTCTGAACAGGAGATGAGTAAAATACTTTGAGTACAGTAAACTCTTTCATCTTAACACAACTTTTGCTTATAAGTTAATACTTAAAATGTGAATTTTTTATTATTGGAGATGGTTTTTTTTTTAATATCATTACATGCTCTACCAATAGGCAACACATGGAAAGAGAGAGATACCCTGTGGAGGTGTTTCTAAGGGAAACTGGCTCGTATCCATATTACATGTGGGGAAAATCTAGAAAATATCCATGCAGCCAGCCATTTGCCAGAACTCAAACACTGGACTGAACAACCAGGGTTAAGCAGCTTTTACTGCTCAGCTGCTCGTGGGGCTATTTGAGAAGATTGTTTTTTATAAAAAAGTTCAATGAGATTTAGTAAATATTTCCAGATTTTTGCAGACTTTTTAAAATAGACCGACTTTTGAAGACTTTAAAAATAGTCTGACTTTTCCTCACCATTTTTCTTTTCCCAGTAGTTACCAGACTACTGAACACAGTATGTGAATTTTACCATTTTTTATCCCTCACATTAACTTTGGGTTTTTCAAAATACCACTTTGCAAAACAATAAAAAAATCAGAAGCTTTTTATTAAACAATACTAAATAAATTTTATATGACGAGTAACTTTTCACAGCCTTCTCCCATTTTCCAGGAATCTTCTGAATTTCTGTTACTACATCAATTACAAAATTTGCTCTTTGTGATGAAGGTGATGCAAGAATTTTTATTTTAAAATTCAATGAGTGTCCTGTTAATAATTTTAAGGCTTCGTTTTATGCTTCCTGAAGCAACACAAGCCTGCAGATGCATGCAATGATGTACTTTATCACTCTATGGAAGTCAGACAACATTTCACTCAATCATATCACCTCCATCTTCTGAGATTAACTGCTAATTAACACAAGGAATCGGCCCTTCTCTCTACTGCCAAGATCAAACAGCTGAAACTTAGATAATTTCCTTAATGATTTATTTCTTCAACATTTGAAATGTTGCAGAACAGACAATTTAGCTCAATTTAATATCATAAGGTCAAGCGCTATGATTCTGTACAAGCCTTTAACTATGAGATTTACAAACATATCACCATAGACTGGTCTATTTAGAAGATTTTGTTCTGCAACAAACTTTGAATTCAATTGAACTGCATATTATGATATTAAAACAATGGCACAGGACATTCACATCTAAAGGTGGCAACAAGTAATTCACAAATTTGATTTAACTATAAAGGATCATTCCTACTTGGGGTTATCTCAGCTAATGGAGTCAGTTCCATGTGTTGACTAGCTCCGCTGTACCTGCAGTTCAAATTTCCCAACTTGCTGCCCTATGGGAAAAAACTGGTTTTGGAGATGGGTCAGCTATGTTTGTTGTGCTCATTAGCTCAGATAAACCCCAGTGGGAATGGCCCTTTACAGTTCAGGTACATATTTTAAAATAAGAAATCCGACAGTTTACTTAAAATCTTTTAGGGAATAAACTTCCAATTTCAATTTAATAAGATTAAAGGGAAGAGGAAGGCAGGAAGGAGTTTCAACAGAAGTTTTTATCACACTTATACTATATGATGCAATATTGAAAAGAGAGGTAAATGCTGATGAGAAAATATTATTTATTCATTAACACATATATAAAATTACAACGATCAGCAAAAATTCGTAAAATTAACCATAGGAGCTAAAACTTTTAATGAGACTAATAGTACCTAAAATTCTGACTCTAAACATAGAATTCACTAAACCAGACAAAAATTCACGTTCCTCTTTCATGTAACTGGAGGAATGACTAACAAAATTATCTCAAACTGATAGAATAAAAACCAAAAACAATATCAGAGCTGCCACTACATTTCAAAACAACTAGAAACATACAAAATTCTTTAAAATAAGAAATTTATATTAAAAATGAAGTAATTTTCTTATTTAAATATAATTTTCAAAAATGAGAAAACATGGTTAAATGAAAATATATGCACTGTTGTCAGACGGTTCACATACTCTACCCTATCAGCATTATGAACACACATCTATCATTTGAAACCATTAAATGTAAGGTACATTAAAATGAACAAGAGCACACCCACTTAATCAGTTAAAAAATTTAACACTAGTTTTAATTACTAAAGATAAGAACAATATATAATTATTAAAAAAGTATAGCAGAGCATCGTAATGATTCATAAATAATAATTAACTAGACTACTTAAAACTAAAGATCTAACTGTATGAATATAAAATGCACACATATAATAAATTCAGTTCTGCATAACTTTTTAGAAATTACATTCTAAACTACATCACACAGTAATAAAATAAAAATTCATCTTACCGTAAATGACAAGCTGGGAGTAACTATGTCACAGTTTGGTGTAATGATAGGAACACCTTCCAACTTTATAATGCCATCTTTTTCTGTAACTTCTCCTAAAAATTAATGAAAAATCACCGTTTGTGTTTAAATAAATTTTAAAAAAATTTTTGAGTTAACAACTGCAGTATTAGATTAGGGTAAATGTGGATGTTCAATGTTAAAGGAGGTTAAATGACATTTATATTCTCCATTTTATATCAGCATTGCAAGTGTTGAGTTTATCACTACAGAACAATGTAAAGAATTATTAATTTCATTATTTATTAATAACTAATACTGAATGGAACTGTTATACAACCAGCTCTATTTTTATGAATGTCATCAAAAAAACTCCCAAATGCCTTTGTTTCCATACGTAAAAGGCATGCACACACTTATCTGTCACCTAAGCAAGTTATGAATCAGTATATTATACAGCAAAATGATAATATGAAGAAATGAGGTCTGAACACAATATGCCATTTGCTAGCAAACACCAATGTAACAATAAAGATAAAGAACTTATGAGACTGTAGAAAATAATATGTCAGAAAACTGGCAAATTTTAATGTAATTAACTATTTGAAAGCAAATTTACAGAGAAAACATACTGCTGTGGTCTCACCAATTTGGTCCAAACATTATTAATTGCACAATTATAAATAACACTAAAAAGTAACACATTCGTAAATATTTTTAAGTACATAGAAAGATATACAAATTCAGTCTACTATTCAAAATAACATAAATTATTTTAGTTTTCTGATTGTCAAAGCTTCTGATGACTTGATGATTAAGTCCAGTAAATTTTTACTGAATGCATAACAGCAATGTGTCAATAACACATCACAATTATGGAAAAATCGCATTCTGCAAAGTCAACTTTCTATGGAAAAAAATGTCCTTGATATAGTTCAGATTTAGAAAGTATATAGAATTGATATAAAGCTAAATATTATTGTAGTTAAAAAGGAGAAAATGTAAAAAATTATAACTGAAAGGATTTATATTGCTGCTTAATAAGTAGATAAATGACTCATTTTTTTAAATAGCTTGTGATTTTTGTTTGGGACAATGTCTGATGCAATAAACATTTTGCAGTGAGGAGTACAAAGTTTTCAATAAGAGTCCCATTCTTTTTCCATTTCAGTCAAATCAGACAGGTAGAGCATATACTTTAACAATTCATTTAACCCTTTGCGGCGCACTATACGTTAACGTCGGAATTTCAACAAAAAAAGTTTTATGCAGTCTATTTAGTCCTAAAGGAGTATACAGGTAAAATTTTGTAAAAGATGCGCTTACCATTTTAATTCTGTAGGTGTTCCATGAGGTGCAACACTGCGCCACCAGAGCTTTTAAAAGTGCGACTAAGCGAGCATTGCAGTGAAGCACGAAAACGAGTAGAAGCATTTGTATAAGAATGAAAAAACTCTGTATTATGACTGTATACATGGTTTCCTGGATATACACAATATTCTTGAATATATACGGATAAATGAGATAAATATCTATATACACAAGTCCTATATACAAAAATATTTACAAATTTTTGGAAAGAGTTAGACCTCTCCGCGCCATTTATGGAAAATTAATAATAATAAAAAAATTAACTACGATTAATATTAACAATAAAGAAAAATAAGCATATGATGATATATACATACACGAAAAATATATACACAATTATTGAAAATAAACGGGAATGAGACTAAAAAGCGACAGCAAAAAATTCATGCAGGTCTAAGTAAAGATGATTCAAGCTACTAATAAAATTCCCACCTAAAAACTAGTGCCAAAAAATTCGAGATGCCAATATTAGGGCTTTCATAACACAAAACACACCTCACCCCTCAATAGTGCTTTGTTTGAATTCATTCCCTCCCAAAGCAACGGGAACAGAAACGTAAACAACGGATGTTCTCTCCTAAGCACAGACGTTCTGATTCGTAACAGCACGAGATCGCTAAAGGCGCAGTGTTCCCGCTAATGGAACACCTGGGTTTATTCAATAATTCTGTGTATGGTTTTTGTCTGAAAGATTTAAAAAAATATAGAACAGATAATTTGGAGTACAGCCAGCAAAATTATGCCTAATTTTTTTTCCAAATAAAATGTTTCATATCATTAAAAAAATAGAGAAAATTACTTGAAAAAAGTGGATTTTAATAACACATAAAAAATGAAAATTCTGTGTGCCCTTGTGATATGCTGCTATCTACTGTTTAAAAAGAAAAGTTTAAAGTATATTATAAAGGCATTTTTATCTATTTATGGTTGAATTTAAAGGTTTCAGAAGCGATTCAATTTGGGTGTTCCATGTAGTGGAACACTGAACCGCAAAGGGTTAACTTCTTGTAAATTAAAGGCTTTTAGATATTTTTGGATTAATGTAGATTGTCTGGCTTTGCTGAACAATCTGGGATTAGTAACAACAACAAATTAAATGCTCTTTATCTTCTTCACTATTGCTGCTTTAACACTGGCTAGTGTAAGATCATCCATTTCTTTATTTGTCATTTCACAATCGTCATTTTTGACTAATTCTTTAATTTCTCCTTCTTCCATATCTGAAAATCCTTTGTCGCTTACTGCTTTTGTAATCTGTATGATTTCCTTGGCTTCATTTTTTAACTGATGGAAATACTTATCAATTTTTCACAAATTCTGTCCAGAGCTGACGCAGCAAGTATTCATTGTTTAATCATTTCTGTGTACTGTCTTATATAGTATCGCTTCCAAAGTGCCATTAGTGCTTTCCTTTGTCTAGTGCTATATTTACAGAATGTAAACATGCCTGACATAGTAGTCCTTGAATGCTTTTATTAATCCCTTGATCCATCTTTGGTTGGATTAAGGAAGTGTTGTTCGGTGGAACAAATAAAATCTCTATATTTGGATGCAATGTTATGAGGGATTCAGTACTGTGTCCTGAAGCACTATCAAGAATTAGAACATTAAGGCTCTGGTTTTGTTTTTATAAGTAATATTTGACTTCCTTAATGAGTGTATTTTCATACCAGTCATTTATGAGGATTATATCACAACATGGCCCAACACTTTGCAGCATACTGCACATAACTGAAATTCTCACATTGGGCAAATTTAATGGAGACAAATACGAAAACGCTTATGTGCAAAAACGCACTACACATTTCCGCATTCAGCAGGGGTTTACTGTACAAGGCTACAAGATGAAATGTTTATTGTTCAAAACATGGCATATGCAATATTTTCTTTAGATTTTTCTCCTTTGATGTTACTTCCCCCTTTTTTATGCTTTCATTCTTAATATTTTTCTTTCTTTAAGTTATTTCATTTTATTTTCCACAAAAATGTGCTCATAAAAGTATGTTTTGAGGGAAAATGCAGAACACATATTATAAAGAGTTGAAGAAAAGTAAATATTTTTTTCCTTTAAATAACTGTAGACCAAAAAATTTATTTATAACTCATACAGGTATTTATCATGAAAATATTCATCATTACATAAACTGAATAAATAATAGTTTCTTAATTTTTTTCCCCTGGAGTAAAATATCCAAAGAAAACATACACTTTGTTAACATTTGTCAGGTTATTCAAAATCAAAATCTTCTATTTTTCTGATGAAAATTTTGATTTTATCATAGAATATACATCAGAAGACTGGCAAAAAGGAAAATAAAAATGAAAAATTATTTTATGTATTTCATTTCAATCACATGCTTAAAATTCAACTTAATTTTGTTTTTTACATTATCACTTTCAGAATACTTTTTATGAATAAAATTTTACACCTACCAGATCTAAGATAAAAGTAACAAAGAAAAGTCACATGTTCCTGTTTCAAACCATGGATTTCTCATCTCAAACAACTTATAGTAAAACTAACATAATGAAAGCTTCAACAACCACACAATTTTCAAAACACAACCACACATTTCTGATAGACACATACTAAATTTTTGCAAATTGTTGTGTTTAAAGCATTTTATAATTCAGCACAGTTCAGATGAAATAAGGAAGTTTAAAAACGTATTCCCTTTTACAAAAATATGCAACTGTCAAAAAACTTTCATACAAATTGATGAATTTAAAAAGTGGAAGTCTTCAGTTGTTCATATCCTCTTAGAATTCTGAATTCCCCTTAAAATCATTGAGTATCAAATTTTGTTTACTTCTTGGGAGTTAACTGAATGAAATGGGAAATACATACGATTTCTAATTTTAAATTGAAATATTTTTAATACAGAAAACAAAACATTATGAATAATATATGAAGGACATTATGAACATAAATATTCTTCCCTTAAATACAATGATACATATTTTCATCGTAAGTACTCTAAACACTCAATCCTATTTAAGTAAATATATATCAGTCTTTGCCAAGAAAGCATTTTTTGGCAATTAAAGCTTTACTGCTCATTCATATCAATACAATGTACTGGGATATTAATTTCTGTTTCTGGCACCCATGATACTAGTGGCTAAAACTTCAAAGAATACAAAAATAATGCAAAATCTAACTTAAATAACAAGGCTAATGAAAGATTTTAAAAGATGTAAAGGAAACTAGCGAGCAATACTGGTTTGTGCTCTTATCTAGTTTTAATCACAAATTTTATCTAAATACCTGATCATTGCCAAAGTTCTGTAATATAAAAACTGGTATTTTTACAATTATTTTTATGAAAATAAGTATGTCTGAATAAGTTATAGGTGTTAGACAAAATTGTTCCTAGCCATTAGAAAAGGGGAGAAGAAAAATCCCTTCTTTTGCACTTTACAACTTGTTTGTCGTTTGTTTGCTTACGAACATGCCATAATATTTAGCCAGCACTTTGATGGCTAAATATAAATTCTGAACAAAAGATATATAAACTAAATAACAAGGGGCAGTTTTACAAAAAGGAAGCTCAAAGATACTTTTCTGTGCAAAGAGAACATGAAATTTCAAAGCATGTTAAAATCAGGCAAAAGAGCTATCTTTTAATAGCAAACATTTTGAAAAACTCTCTAGCATTTTTTAGGGTGAGCAAACGCAGGCCTCTTTCCATTAGAAGAAAAAAATTTTAACACTTTCCTTTTTTGCTTCGAAAAAAGGGACTTACGTCTGATCACCCTTGAAACTGATACAATTTTTGGAAACTGCCAAACAAATGTTACTTTTTTTTGCCTAGTTTTAAATTTCACTTTAGCATATTTCTTTTCCCTTTGATTCCAATGCATACTTTGCTTAGATACATAAAAATGTTATGCTATAAAAATAGGAAACAAAAATATGTGTATGTATCACAAGAGAGGCCTTACCCAAAATTTCTGGCATTCCATCTTTAAATTTCAGACCTTTTAATTCAGTTGCCTTTTTAAAAGATTTTGAAGAACTAGCTGTAACCGTGCGCACATACTTCCCATCACTAACATCTTCAAATACAGTCAACATTCTGGATACCCGGGCAGTATAACCTGCCAGCTCCGTGATCTAATTAAAATATACAGAAATTTATATAATGCAATTTATAACACAATTCAAATAATTCAATCAGAAATGAAGATAATATTAACATTAAAAGAAACTATTTAAAAGATAAAGTGAAAATTATATAAATTTTAATTAAGTACTTCTTTGTAAGATGACATGAGTCTTTCTGTAGCATCTCCACCAGCAATTAATATATTTTTTGCTGTAGTCATATACTGAGTCCTTGTGCTAACCCCATCATCTCTGTAGTTGTCATCTATAGCAATTTAAATATACATAGTACTTACTAGGCAAGAAATCGGTATTTTCAAAAGCAAAATTATAATAACTTTAGAGAATTAATTTTCACAAATATGCCACAAAAGAAAGCATACAAGGCTTTTCCCAAACCTACTTACTTTACCAAGCTGCTGCCTTATTTCCTTGTATAAAGTAATAAAAGATTTTATTTAAAATAACATAGAAATGCTCAATTACTTATTTAATTACTTATTACCCAGTTAAGCTCCTTCATTCACTGATTACAGGTTATGTGGATTATAATGTTTACCTGGCACTCAAAATAGCAGAAAATGAAAATCATAAAGCAGTAAACTTTAAGAAAAAATCCAAAGGATAGTTCTGGGAGAAACATTCTGAAAATAAAGGACCAGATTATAATAGAATATATCCCAATCAAGAAATTTTGAGGCCCTTCAACATCCACTTTTATTGCTTGCTCTCTAAGTAAAAAAACAAAGTAATAAAAAATTACAGGTTGATTTTGGGTGGAGTGGGTTCTAAAATAATCTGAGACAGCATGATGCACAGAGTTGCAAGTTGCAAGAAGGCATTTACAGACTAATAATATGCCAACTAAAAAGGAAATGAAAAACAATCAGTTAAGCTAGACAAAACAGTTTTTTTCCTTTTGCTCAAATTAGCTGGCCGTTTTCATGATTAGGAACTGCAATATTTTCTGATGAAAATAAATTCGCTTGAATCAGATAATAAGTTTACATTACAAGATAGAAAGTGTGATCATTAGAGCAAAAAATGAATAATTCCTATTATTAAGTGTTCATTGTAAGTTATGATTTAGAACTGTGTGAACACATTCGCAGTTAATATCTAAGTATGGTAGATCAGTGAGAGCACGAAAGCATAAGAAATCAAAATAGGATGACATGTATTCATACTAAAAAGGCCAGTAAAAATATAACCAATGCATTTTTTTGAGAGAAATCAGCATCTGCCATTCGTGTGTACTCTGTGACTATGATTTGTAAATATTCATAAAATATTTTATTTTTAAACAATTTCTTAAACAGTACACATTTTGAATGATAAAATTTATTTCAATCAATGATTTTTGTGCATAGACTGCATTAAAAACAAGTTCTATCTGAAGTACACTGAACCATATACAAAATCCAAACATTGATGTACCATTTAATGCATAAGAAGTCACTATAAATATGCATAATATAAAAAGATTGTTACAGAGCAGAATTACTCGTTAAATTTAAACTAAGTTCCAACTAAATGCATCAAAATATTTTTTTATTTTTTATTTTTAAGTGTTCAAGAAATTAGTTTGAGAAATGCTTCATTATAAGAAAACTATTCCAGAACTGAAGAAAACATACCTGAATCATTTGGATCAGTCTTAGTATAATCAGTCATTATTGGCAATGATATAATTATCATCCCAGCTGCACTCCAACAATATTTCATCAGGAACTGCTCCAACATGACATACCATAATTTTTTGTTATAAATTTGATTCATCTGCCAAGCAAGTGCTTTATAGCTCCTTTGTAGCAAAGATAATTCAACCTGAAATGCAAATATAATATGTTGAATGCACAAAAGACAAAAATTAATTACTAAATAACTACCTTAAGTTAAATTAACCCTTTAAAGGGCAAAGGTATATAAAATATAGAGGTTGTTTGTCAATTTTTTAACCTCCTAAAAATGCTAACTTTTCAACACTAAAAGCTGTAATCATAAGTTTCTAGTGTTTCTTTTTATGGTAACACTACCCTATGAATGCTCAATATTTTGCAGTTATAAAATTAATGTACCTCGTTTCAAGGTATCATGTTTGAAGATTCATAAATTCTATTGGAGGGAAAGAAAAAATTCAAAATCTACAAATATATGATGCACATGTTTAATCTTATATATGTACTTTATTTCAGTCAGAAGTGATAATTAACAGAAGATTATTTATATTATTTTCGGTGCCCATACAGAGGGTACCAAGGCAATAGATGGCAGCACCTGTCTTCTCCTTTCCTACTCTGTGAGATGACAAAATTTCTTTATATTATAACAGTTTATGATTTAATAATTTTTTATGATTAATTAACAACTTGTTTAGGATTCAATATTACGTTCATTAGGGAATGGGGAATTTACTGACCCTGAACTAGGACTGACTACAAGTATATTAGTTTCTTTTTGTTCTTTGTTTACTCCACTCGAGTTTCATTCATCTCTGTTTAGCTAAAATTTTAGTTTCAGCACTACACCCTTTCCCAGGAGAAGGACTCATCAATTTCAAAATTGTAGTCTGGCGTCAAAACATTACACAATTAATTGTAGGGATTAATGTGGTATGTTAGCTCTGAAAGACAACTGTTGCTTCGTGTTTTCTAAAATCCTAGAATGCAGCGAAAATGAAAAGAGGTGATTGACAAGTAACTTGTCATGTGTTCTTCCCTATGTGTGATCTTATCACACAAAGGAAAAACTCACTTAATACAGTACGGGAAATGGAAATGCACTTTAGGTCCACCTCTTAGTGTAATGGTAAAACTGTTGATTTAAAAGCATGCTTTAGGGTATCGTTTTTGTTTTCAGATAAGAGACTAGGGAACAGAAGAGAAATTTTTCTTCTGGGTTAGAATACAAATAGGTTGTTTTTGAAATAAATTTTCACAGCTGGTGAAAGGAGGGGGGAATATTTCTAAGGCTCGTTTTAGATGCAAACCAAAATTTATCCAAAAGTTGAAAAAGGGTCCCTAGGAGGCCAAAGGGGTTGAAAATCGAAATAAGAGTTTTGAGGTGTATCAAATAATAAAATCGTTTAAAGGCATTTCTTTCTGAACAAAAAGATATATTACAACCTATATTTAGAAAAAATAAAAAAGTGGCCCTGACGGTCCTCGATAATCTAAAGTGTGTGTATGGGGGGGGTGATTCTTGGTATCATAGCATAAAGCATGGTCTTTTTTGTATATTATCTAAAACATAAAATATAATAACTTCAAAAATGCAACATACTTTCTCAGCTGAGTCATACTGTTTCATTTTTCAATTTTTTATTTTTCGGCTGATTTACACCTCCTTGTAACATTATGCTAGTTCAGTTGCAGCATGATACGGTTTACGCATGCAGTGTTATATTTGCTAAATTTTTTCATAAAATAATATTGAATTTAAATCAAGTTAAAAAGCTTTCTGCCCATATTTTACATTAATATGTTCAGCTGAGTTGATCATCAAGTGCATAAAAACATAAATTTTATTTTTAAAATTTTAAATTTCTAGCAAAATTTTTGTCTTCAGACTTACATAACTATATTCAAGCACCCATCTCTACAGAGGCACATCAAAAGTATGCAAAATTTATTCAAAAAAAAAAAAAATTAACAATTGGCAGCTACCTGGAAAAAAAATGTCTTAGCAGGGCAACGGTATAAAATATATACTGGCTGTCAAAATACAGAATTTTGCTCTAGATTTTTTCAAGTCACAATTTTGTGTTCTTAGGTAAATTAACAATTCATGCAAAATTTTACCACAAATTAAATTATTTTATATACAGCCCCTCAAAGGGTTAAATGCAAAACAAAATATGAGTTACACATGTTGTCACAAAACTTATTAGTTTCAAATTCTGTATGTTATAAGTGACTGAAACAACCATAAACAGCAGATTAGAGCAATCTCCTGTTACAACAATAATTTTATAGCTTTGAATTTGAGACAGAAAAACAAAACTATTTTGCTATCATAGAATTCAATACATTCAATTATTCTCTCTGTCATTATAAACTATTTTGAGCTAATGCCATAATAACTAGAATGTCTAAATTACAAATTAACTTCAGCCGAAACATCAAAACCTAAATAAAATTTAGGTCCCATGTTCACAAAGAATTTCAAGCAGAGGGGAAAAAATAAGAAAAAGAAAAGGAAATAACAGGGTTCGTACACATTTCTGCACATGGAAATTAAGTACTTTTAAGGACTTTTAAGGACCATTAATGAAAAAATGGTACTTTTCCGTTTCGCCGGCGCAAATCTCGCCAAGCAGACTTTGTTGGCGACAACATACAGTATACACATAAAAAATGTTAATTCTAAGAATTTTTTTTATTTTGAAGGCATAAACATTTTAATATGGTTTAAAATTTTGTAAAAAGCAATAAATAAAGACAATAAATTTTGTAAAAGACATAATTTAAGAATTTACAATGATTTCATGGTCAAAATCCTGATTCGCCGGTTCGTATCACGTGACCCCAAGTGATCTCATCTCACGTAAACTACGCTACTAAAATCTAATTCGCTCAGTAATTATCTACATTAATTTCAAGTTAAATCTTAATTTGGAATACAAGTTTAAATGCAAGAATTATTTCAATTCATACGAATAGCTTACTCAGAAATTATGTAAAACCGCAGTGCTTTACTTCGCTAGTGCATTCTCATTAGAATTGATGAATTTAACACTTGATTTCGCCTTCAGATTAGCGGTGTAATTGCGTTCTAATTGACTTAGAACTAATTGACTTATTACCGTGAATTGTCTTAGGGGATAAAATTTAAATATCGTGTAAAAATTCTATATGCCAGTATTGAAAGAAACAATCTGATAAGAATTGGCTTCAACTTGTTTTGAAACTGAGGCGTAAAAGGTTACCAGCGAAGATATTTCGTCTGGCATCAGTTAAACCATTATTGGCGACTTTATCATTTGCGCCGGCAAAACGGAAAAGTACCGAAAAAATTAAGGACCTATGAGCAAATAGCAAATTTATAAATTCAATTAAAAATATTATCTATGCCTGAACTCCACTTTTGTAATACCATCCAAAAAATAAAATATATCCGTAAGTAGGCTACATTATCAATAAACACAACTTAGTTAACATTAATAAGTTTGAGAATAAAATAAACTTTATGAAATTTATCAAATATCATTACATATTTTACACTTATAATAGTTCGGCATATTTGAAGGAAGATAAGTGACATTTTATTTACGTTTTACTAATAGTTTCATACTGATTTTTTTAATGTCTCATTTTGTCACATACTTGCTAAATCTGGAGGTTTAGTAAATAAGAGGTAGATTTTATGTCAAGCAGGATAGGTTAAAATGAGAAGTAAAATCATAATCAGAATGATTTATAACAAAAGACTGGCTGCTGTGACCACTGCTCCTTGCCTACAGAGAGACCTGCTGATCAGAACAAAACTGAAAGACCTGATGTGGGCACAGTTGGCATGTTTTGAAAGTTAGTTGGGCTCTGTCTGATGCAGTTAGTGTCGTAGCTTCGTGTAGAGTTCCAGGGATTGTAACCCACTTAATATACTTTAAGGTTTCAATAAGCCACTAAAGCACCAGAGGTGATACTAAGTTGCTTTGTATTATTTCAGGTCTCGCTAGATATGAATAATAAGTTTTATATGAAATTTTACATTTTTGTATTTTATCTTGTACTATGATAAGGTTTAATGAAAGACAATAACTCGCTTTAATGTATGATAGATATTTTTTAAGGGTAAGCAGTTAGTTATAAATAATTAAATTAGGTAGTTAGAAAACCTTAATCATTATGGATTTACATGACTACTATTAAATTTTACTTATTTAAGAATATTTCTTAAAAAGCCCTATTAAAATCACAATCCAATAAAATTTCACAGTTTAAAATACATGCAATTTATGCCATTGATATTAGGATAATTATATTAAAAGCTACAAAAGATTTATGTTTTATAGCAACAACCCTCAACAAAACATTATGCGTCTTTTTAATTTGAAGCCTGCTCAGAACATTTTGGCTAATTTACATAGATTTCCTTCTCTTTAAGCATATTTCTAAGAATTAGAAATTTCTCTCAATATGCAAACCATTGTTCTCACTAGTTCTGCGTGCTTTATCTCCTAACTTGTCAACCTCTCCACAATGTACCTATGAGGGTTTATTTGATCTGGTAAAAGTTAAATAGTCTAAAACCCCCCGATAGACGTGAAGTAAATTATTGCTATGTCTAAAAATAACTACAAAGGTTTAAATAAGCCTCTTATTTAAAAAGAACTTAAAGGCATGGTCTTATGCTAACAAAATCAATTGCAACTTGTGGTGATGTTATTAAACAAGAACGGTCAAATTCAAACAAAAAATGTGGACCAGTGGTCAAAGACTATACAATTTAATTTTAATTTAAGCTGGCTCAGTAACTCTATTGTCATAACAAATTCAAATGTCAGCAGTAATAATGCAGAAAAAAATTACAAATTATCAGAGCTGGCAGGAACTAATGCAGTGAGCAAGCGGAGATTAAAAACACATTCTGCCTTGCGCACCAAAAACCTCAGTTTAAAAACTAAAAACTGTCTAAGTGATTTGCATTCTGGGGAGGAAATAGAAATGGGAAATTATAGTAAAGGCTGAAATTATAAACAAGTCAGTAATTTACATAATAATATCTGTATATATATTTGAAGAATAATTTTCTTTCTCTGTATGTATTTGGTTTTTTTATTCAACACGCTTCCTTTTCATTTTAGAATTTTTGAATTTCTGTTATTC